ATTTAAATTATCACTTTAACTTTGAGTAAAAAAATATTTTAATGAATGCGTCTACAGATTTTTTTCTACCATTCACAGTCTAATTTTGTCTTAACTTCATACAAAATGTTTCGTATTATGGAAAAAATCTGAATATTTACACTTGGGGGTGTGCCTGAATATATAGCACCGAATTATGATTCAAATGAATTTTACTGCCTCGATTTGACCAAATTTTGGGTTTCCGATTTTAGATTTATTCATGTACCTTGTACTTTAATGTATGTTAGCACATGAGTCCGAAAGTTATTCGTCATGTAATTATGAGGCCAAAAGTTTCTATGGATGAAAGCCATTATTTGATTTAAAGTAACGTTTGGCATCACAATCTTTAGATTTTTTTAATAGTTACTTCACAATTAATAATACAATTATGACTTTTTCTTGTAGGTTTATTTCTCTTATTTTTTATTAAAATAACTGCTATTAAGTTAATTTTAGCTTGGGTTGTAAGTTTGAAAGTTGTTTTCTACGATTCTGTGAGGCCAAAGTCTACAAAAGATGAAAATAATTTTAGGTTAGATAGTTCAACACTCTGCCAATTATTTATTTTTATTTATACTATTTTCGTGTGGTATAGCAAGAATAATGGTCAACAATCAAGTATTTTAGGCTCAAAAAACGGCAGATCAAATTCCTGATAATATTAACACTAATAAGTCTAAAAATTTAACCAAATATTGACTTTTTTAAAGTGTTATAGGTTTACTGACGAGGTGGCTGAGGAAGGGGATGAACCCTGAAACTGGTATCACCAAAATAGTATAAATAAAAATAAATAATTGGTTGATTGCAGAACTACCTAACCCAACTTTATACCCACGCTAATATGGAAACAAACATATCAAAATAATTGGCTCATTAATAGCAACTTTGGACCTGTCGTCCTTTATATTTGGCTAAGTAGCAAGTATTTAAAAAATGTAAATTATCACTTTATCTTTGAATAAAAAATATTTTTATGAATGCGTCTACAGATACTTCTACCATTCACAGTCTAATTTTGTTTTAACTTCATACAAAATGTTTCGTATTATGGAAAAAATCTGAATATTTACACTTGGGGGTGTGCCTGAATATATAGCACCGAATATTGATTCACATGAATTTTACTGCCTCGATTTGATCAAATTTTGGGTTTCCGATTTTAGATTTATTCATGTACCTTGTACTTTAATGTATGTTAGCACATGAGTCCGAAAGTTATTCGTCATGTAATTATGAGGCCAAAAGTTTCAATGGATGAAAGCCATTATTTGATTTAAAGTAACTTTTGGCATCACAATCTTTAGATTTTTTTAATAGTTACTTCATAATTAATAACACAATTATGACTTTTTCTTGTAGGTTTATTTCTCTTATTTGTTATTAAAATAACTGCTATTAAGTTAATTTTAGCTTGGGTTGTAAGTTTGAAAGTTGTTTTCTACGATTCTGTGAGGCCGAATTGTACAAAAGATGAAAATAATTTTAGGCTAGATAGTTCACCACTCTGCCAATTATTTATTTTTATTTATAATATTTTGGTGTGGTATAGCAATAATAATGGTCAACAATCAAGGATTTTACAATTTACTTCTTTTATCGCATCCCCTTTGCTCCAGCCTTACTCCGCTCTTTTCCACTCCTTTCATCCACCCTGCTTCTCTTCCATCTTCATTCAATATTTCTGTTATACTTTCCTTTTTTCTTTAATTTCGCCCTAGTCTTGTAGCATGTATTCTAAAGTCTCTTGCACTTCTCCACACATCCTAAATATTCTTCTGCTTTCGCTTAAGCAAAAGTTGTTGTTTCTTTCTTCATGTCCACCCCTCTGTCTAGCAATTGCTTTTTCTCCTTCGTTCTTTCTCTCTCTAGGTACCTTGGCGTTGTTTCTGATATTATCTTTAGACGAGTATAACCCCCATTGTACCTAGGTTCCTTTATACTCGCCATTGGACATATTTGTCCTTGTTGCCACTTGCGAGGAGACCTTTACTTTTCCACATCTCATTCATTATTTCACACAGTCTTTCAATCAAATCATCCGTTCTAAACGTCCATACATCATTTACCAATCCATTCCTCCCTGGTCTTTTCCCTCTTTTCGACCCTCCAACTTGTTTCCATATTTTTTCCACTGTAATGTTCGGCCATTCTTTCTCTCTCAGCATTCTCGGTTTAACTCTTTTGCGCTACAGTACTCTCATTTCCACTCATTAGTTTCATGAAATGGTACTTCCATTGTATTATTAGCATTTCTTCACTGATCATGTTTTTGTTTTTCCTTATTTTGGTTCTTGCTCTGATTTTATGGCTTTTATTTTATTTCTTCTTTCGGAATCTCTTCTTTTTTTTATTCACACCGACCTGTTATTATTTCTTGCTGGACAGTACTCTTCTTTTTTATCTTTCCCTTTTTACACCTTCGTAAACATTTTCTTTCTTATGTTTTTAAATCTCTGCATCTATTAACCCGCCATTTGTTTCTCTTTTCTGATTTCTTCGTTATAAATGCTTTTCTTATTGCTGCTTTTTCAGTTGTTATTTTTAATTCTTCTATTTTATTTTAGCTTACTTCTTTTGAATTCAATTTCCAACATCTTTTATAATGCTCAGTTCCCTTCTCCTTTTTATCTACTTCCTTATTTGTGACTCCGACTTTTCTACTTCTATCCCTCAATTTTACTTCTTATAGCATGTGGTCGGAATCAATTCTTTCTCCTAATTTAAATGTTTCGGCTTCTTCATCAGCTACTGGGTTACATATACAGGTAAATTCTTTATCTTCATCCCCCTCCTTCACCCCATTCAAGACTACCAAACTCTTTCTTCAATTAATTTCCATAGAAATTTTCTGTCTTTATTTAAAATTTTATCTTTAGATTTTTCTGTGCGTTCTCCCCTATATTCCCTGCTTTTGTTGCCTATTTTGGCGTTAAAACCATCTCCTATCAGAAGAAATTCTTCGTTAGACTCTTCAATTTTTTCTTAAATTTTTTTCTTCAAATTTTTTGTAATTCCAATGCAATACAATATGCAAATTCTTTTTTTCTTTTATCTTTCTTTCCACTATGCGTTCCACTTCTATTACCCGCTCTTCGATTTGTTTTATATCTTTTGTCACCCCTGTTATGGATCCCCCACTTGCTTCACCCTCAACTTTTCCTTTTTCCTTGTTCAATTTATTCCCCTTACTCTTTAGTATCCATGTTTCTGTTAATCACACAAAATCAAAATTTTATGTACTCATTAAATAAATTCTGTTTATTTTTCTTAATAATGCAATATTTCAAACAAGCAATTTTAAACCCCATTTGTCCTCCCCGCTTTTCTTTTCCATTCCCTCTCTATTTTTTTTTATAATTACCACCCCTTCTCTTTATGCTTCCTTGATCAGTTAATTCCAACTCTCTTTGTAAAATTTTTCATCCAAATTTCCCTGTCTTCATTCCATGTCCTCAACTTTCCGTTTCTTACATTCTATACCTGTTGTGTATCTTTTTTTTTTCTTTCTTACTCTCTAACTTCTTTCTGAATTTTTGGCTCTTCTACTGTCCAATTGTTTTCAGTTGCTTAATATTTTCTTTAATTTTAGATAAATTTCCAACATACTTCTGGAAATTACTACCTTCAAACAACTTCCCGTATTTATACAAAACCTAGTCATAATATTAGCTTTGTTAAGTAAATCATCTATGCAACCAACTTTTATACTTAACAATCTTTTCTCAAACCAAAATTGTTAAAATTACTGTTAAAAGATGTCACTGGATATGCGTGAGTCCAAATGTTACGTTGAATGTGTGAGTCACTTCGGCCTCAAAAGCTACGGCGAGGCCGAAACTTCCAATTTGAGCCCAAAAGTATATATACGTGAGAGAATTTGAGGTCGAAAGTTATCATTAACATATATATATATATATATATATATATATATATATAATCCAAAAAATGGCTATATTTCATGAAAATTTTTTTTGGATATTAATTACTCTTTGATAATATATAATTTTGACAAAACATTATTCAAATAATATTTTAAAAACGTTTTTCAAGGATTAAATAGGTACATATAATTCGATAAAATGTCAAATAATTGTCATTTTAATTAGGAAAACCCTAATTAAAAATATTAACATTAGTATCAGTTACCATGTTTAGTCTTGTTGACAAATTGATTTCTCTGTGTGACATTTATGAAGTAAAATGTATTTTAGAAAAAAAAAGTACATACACAACAAAAGATAAAAAAAGTTATGACGTAAACATAAAATGTTACCCAAAAAAGAATAATTAAATTTTCAGCATTTTGTGAACAAATGCATACATTTTAAATTAACAATATCAACTCATGTTATAATATTACAGTAAAATTCCCCCAGGTGTCTTTTGTGCAATATTTGCTACAGTGGTAACTCTTATTATTCGTTTTTAAAGTAACGAAAAATTATTTGTCAAAAGAGAAGCAACTGACGATGTCATTATTTTAATATAATTGTTCAAGGAGTATAATATTTTGTATAATGCTCTTTAGGTGGTCTTTATATCTAAGTGATCCATAAAAAAGACTTAACTTGTGGTACAGGAAGGTCGAAAACATTTACTGCTGAATCTGTATTAACAGATATCTATTTTAAGATTTGCTATCTAGCTATCTAAATCGTAATTAAAATAATAATAATTGTCACATTCCACCTGAGTTTTTCAACCATTTCTTGTCAATACAATTATTATATTTGAACATTTCACTTAATTAACATTAAAACTGATTGTTTTATCCTTGAAACCTTATGTTATAAGAGTATAATTGCACAAAAGGAAAGCAAATCACCTTCTAACCTCCGAAAAAGTTCTGCAGCCAACAATACAAGTCTCGTATGCAAATTGCTTTCCATCAGTATAGCAACAGCACCGTTGCAGCCTTCACTTCCCATCTCCCATCCGTGCTTCATACTTATTAACTAAGTACTTTTTTTCAGTTTGTAGTTGCCACGGTGTTTACCGTAGCGTCAGCCCAACAATATACAACCCCCGTCCCCATTCTTAAACAAATAAACAAACACAACGAAGATGGTTCCTACAGCTACGGTTACGAAGCTGCTGATGGCACTTACAAAATAGAAACCAAATACCCCGATGGAGAAGTTTTTGGCAAATACGGCTACATCGACGACCAGGGAAAACTGCGCACAGTGGAGTACGGTGCCAGCAGGAGAGGATTCGAACCTGCAGGCAACGAAATCCAAGTGCCACCTCCTACTCTTAAAGCTAACAACCAATACGAGAGACCTTTAGGGCCAAACGAAGAAGATGATGGTCAATACAGGGAAGACCCGAGCTTGTATTACAAGAATGACCCTTACTCAAGGGCACAACCTACGCAGTCTAGGTATCCGCAATCTATTTACAGACAGCCACCTTTCGAACCCCAACCTGCCTATGACCCTGAACCTACTTACAGTCCTCAACCTGCTTATAGACCCCCAACTGCTTATAGACCACAGCCTGCTTATAGACCCAAAACTACGTACACGCCGCAACCTACTTATCAACCTGCTTTTAGGCCGCAGCCTAGCTACAGTAACTTCGGTTTCTCCAGTCAACCTAACTACTACAACCCCCCACCACAGCCTGCGTACCCAAATCACCATCCTTTCCAAGGTCATCCTGCTACAAACGTGGATATTAATAGTGGGTCGTACAGCGTAAACTATAGGAAATAAGAATAGTTCTGCAAATCACCTGTTTATTTAATCACTTGTGTTAAATTAAGAGAACGAACTAGTCGTATTAATTCTAATTAAATGTAATTTCGCAGGCAACACTTAAGTTTAAGTAAGTTTATTGTAACAAGTATTTATGCCCTACTGGTACTGTAATTAAGCGATTTAAGCAACTGTCTATTTTTGTATGGACGAACAATAAAAGTTGTGATAAACCGAGTTTGTCTTTGGAAAGTAGCAATGAAATAATTGTGTAATTGTCCGTGGCTATAAGATCACAAAAGAATTCTTGACGTAAATGTCTTTTGCTATATTTCTTGAATTGGGTGGAGTCGGAAGGCCTTGAGCATTCCTTAACAACAGTCAAAGTGATCTAAACCACCATTAGAACAACTTTTTTCTTCTTATTGTAGATAAAAATCCACTGTTTCGTTTCAATACAACCAAAAATTTTCCATTCTTTCCCCCATTTAATTTTGAAAAATCTTTTGACATTTCACTCCGCTTAATTTTGTATGTCAAGTATAACACATTTATTAATTATTTATACACACCTACAAGCTGAAGGAAGGTTAGTTACCTATACTTATCTTAATCATTGCACCGATAAATTCAAGTTTAAATTCCTTTGTACAACCTTTATCCACCGCAACGCATGAACTGAAACATGCAAATATTTAGAAACTGTTAAGTCAGCTGAAACTATAAGAGCGGTCACTTATATTACTAAATGAATTACATAACTGAAAAAAATCTACCCGAAAGTTACTAAATAAGACCAATGCCGCAAAAATTAAGAAAAAAAAAACACAATTAAAAGGACCTGTCACACAGACAACCTTGCAATTTGCCAAACATTTGAAAAGACAGAAACATTGCTACAAGTAACAGTATTAGAAGGTTTCTGCGGTTTTTTAGTTTTACTTACTATGTGTTGATTTATCGATACATGAATATTAATGTAAGTATGTTTTTATAAAATGCAGTATTTATTTTTAGAAACATAATTTAATGCAAACATTTTTTTAATGTTCCTTATGATATGAGATGATACTTTCCCTCATTAAACATCAGTATATTAATTATAATTTTGACTACGGCATATTCTTTGTGGAAAAAAATCTTTGTAAATAAGTAGTAACATTTCTAATAGTGTTTAGGTAGCACTTACATCTGCTTGGTTTCTAGCATTTCTTCTTCAGTACGTTTTAATAAAAATTGTAAATATCATTAGCAATTATTTCTAAATACAAACGATTGGGTTAATTTACATCTTAACCAACTGTAACATTTAAATCTGGATTAGCTCATTTTAATACACATATGGAAGCGCAAAATGTTACTATTTTGTAATACTAGCCACAATATCTTTAACTAATTTCATTATGTTAAAGTAAGTCTGAAAATAAAATGTAGTTTTTGTAAAAAATACAGTGGCGGCTCTGCCTCTAAAAAAATATTAACTACTTGTGTTTTAGTGGCGGATGGTTTGACACAAATAATTTTTTTTATTTCTTTTTACTTTTGTAAATATACGTAGCCAATAGGCTGTTTTAAAATCTAAGGTAATAAGTATTAAATCTCACTTGAGATTACCTTTATTTTATAAGCGTGTGAAAAAATACATATCAATTTTATTGGAATGAATAATTTGTCCTATTTGACTGATCTTCTAATTTCTTAAGGCAGTGTAAGTATGCTTCAAAAAATTAATCGTGAGAGCAGTTTTGATGATAATTATGGAAATTATTCATGATAAACCATAAACATCAATCTACAAGTTAATAAAAAACATCGTTAAAATTTTAGTCGCAATAAATAAATTAATATTTATATTTGTCGCAATAAACACTAAAGAGAAAACTTCTGAAAAATCAGACGTGGTATTTCTCAAATATAATAGACAAAATAAACAATATTATGCTATTTTTTATCAGAACTCCGGTGTTACCGGTTAAAAATTTTATTAGTCGATTTCTTTCTACCAAATTTCACAAACTTAGTGAAATAAAAAAATACACTAATTTTAGTTGTATAGTGTATTAGTAATGTTTTTACCATGTAAGCAATTGTTAAAAACTTTTATTTTTACTTCCCGACATAAGTTAATACAGAGTATTGTAATAATCCGCTCAGTGGCTATTTTCATGTTTTTTAGACGTTTTATGACCCGTAGTGTATGAAAAAATAGGTCCACATTTCCGTCTGTGGTCTGTCATCTGTGTGTCGTTTGTGTCTTTTTTTATTAGAGATTTTCTGAAACTACCGGACCGATTGTGTAGACTGTGGATGTTACAACCCTATCAACTCCTACAGTTGTGGTTTATGAATCTGCCTTGAATTTTCAAAATTTTCGCAACAACAATATTTTATAATAATAGGAGTATATGAAAAACGTTTAGCAATCGTTGACTTAACGCTTCGAGCGTATTGCTAATAATGAGAAGATTGTGGGTTCGATCTCCTCATGGGCTACTTTTTTACACCATGACTGGTATTACTTTTTTTTCTCTCTAAAAACCTAGACTGATGGGATTGTACTCCAAGAGCGAAGGAATGCTTAAGTAGAAGTAAAATAATGTAACATTCTAACTAAAATTTGTTTGATCATCTCACCTACAATGTGATGGCAAAATTTTGAGAAGTAAATCCAACTTAAATTTTGCAAAATAACATGCGTTTACGCATATTTGTACTTTGTTAATGTTATTTTTTACCTTTGACGTTTAGATTTGCACAAACAAAAATTGGTCTAAAGAGTTTAGACAGTACTTCGCTCGCTGTCGGAAACGTAACAACTACTATTGTTTTTTTTTCGCAGTAGATTTCATTTTTTTTTTGAGTCATCCGGTATATGCAAATTCAAAAAATATGAATGGAATGATAAATTACAAGTACAGACTCATCATATTTTGTATATTGTAGATAGGATTTATTCGGCAAACTTTTGAGCTGACGTCATCAGTTTTTTGTAGAAGATAACCAAATATATTTTGACTAAAAATTTATTATGCTCTTTATAACCTTAAAACATTTGCAAGATTTCAAAACATTGGGTTCTGGAGTTCCTGGTTAAATCAATAAAATACATTTACCCATTCATTAATTTTTTTGAGTCACCCTATATATGCAAATCCAAAAACTATGAATGGAATGATAAATCACAAGAAAAAACTCATCATATTTTGTACATTTTAGATAGGATTTATTTAGCAAAATTTTGTGGTGACGTCATAAATTTTTTAGGGGGGATGAACAAATACATTTTGGTCAAAAACATACCATGCTTATGATAACTTTAAAACACCTTCAAGATTTCAGAGCATTCGGTTTTGTAGTTCCTGAGTAAATCAATAAAATAAATTTACGCATTCATTAATTTTTTTGAGTCACCCTGTATATGCAAATCCAAAAAATATGAATGGAGTAATATATCACAAGCATAGGCTCATCATATTTTGTACATTTTACATAGGATTTATTTGGCAAACTTTTGAGCTGACGTCATCAAGTTTTTGGAGGGGATAACCAAATATATTTTGAGTAAAGATTTATGATGGTCTTTATAGCCTTAAAACATCTGCAACAGTTCAAAACATTCGGATTAGCAGATTCAAAATTAAATTGGAAAATGTTGTTTTGTAATTTTGATTTTTTTCCAGAAATCTAGACGTTTCGGGTAAAACTCAATTCGGAGTCGTAAACTACATGTTTAGGACTATATTATTTTATACAATTTAAAACCCATTTACTATGTACAATTTTGAAGTGACGTCATCACATTAGTGGTGGGGATGATTAAACAAATTTTGGTTAGCGTTTTACCATCTACATGATATTCCTAATATATGTAAAAAATTTCACAACAATCGGTCCAGTACTTTCGGAGATTATCTGTTTAATAAAAATCCGGGACGGCAGACAGACGGACAGACGGACGGACAGGAGGACAGACGGACAAACTATCGGAGATTTTCTGTCTAATAAAAATCTGGACGGCAAACAGACAGACGGACAAACAGACGGAAATGGGAGATCTATTTCTTCGTCTTCTAGGGGTCATGAAAGATCGAGAAAACGTAAAAGTAGAGAGTTGGCCGACGGACTCGATTACAATACTTCCTTTGCTTACGCTCGGGAAGTAAAAAGAATAATAAAAAATTTGATTTAAAATTTTATAATTGAACTCAGAAATCATAAAACCGAAAGGTAACGTTTTACGTCAAGGGCGACAGAACCGCTGTCTTATTGCTTAAGACTATTTTTTTACTTTAGCACTCTTGTTATACCTAATCAAAAAAGGAAATTATTGTTCAAAGGTAATTTACACAATACATATTTTTGGAGCCAATAAATTTCTGAAAATTAAAAAAAATCCATCGGGTCAAACTAAGTCGAAGTCAGATCAGATCAAGTCTCCAATCAGGTCAGGTGAGGTAACTTTTTAAACTTAAATATTATATTTTAACACAAAAACCACCTTTTTGAAATTTCATTTTTCTGTAGTAGTTTTCGTAATAACAATGTGTTTTTGAATTTGGTACCAAATTTATTTATTCAGAAAAAATTAATCCCAAAACAAAAAATCAAAACGAAAAATCAGTCGTAAATTTTTTGTAAAACATCGTAAGAGTGGAAAATACGTAGAGATCTGTTTTTAATTTTTATTAAGTCAAAAAAATTGTTATTACTTAGTGGATTTAGGAACAGATATTTTTCACAAATTTTACACGATTCGACAATTTCTTTGCAAAATTTTCTTACTATAAATTATGTTTAGACAAAATAAAAAAATATCTCAAATACAGCAACTCTAGTGCAGCTATCTTGATTTTTTTTTTCTGATTTATTCCACAACTAGAAGATTTTACAAAATTCTAAAAAATTTTCGACATTCTAGTAGTTCTAGTACGATATAACTTTAAGCTAAGTTGTTTTAAAACAATTTAGTTAAAGAAAAAAATGATCAACAAACTCATCGAGCTGAAATGGTTACTTTCACTTCTCGAATGTAAACTAAGCAAGCATTGTGGTAGCGTCCATCCGGCAACTAGTTACTTTAAAGTTGTCTCAACGTTTCTGTGTCGTCTGTGTTAATTTTATAATAAACAGATGACTTTCGAAACTACCGACCGATTGTTGGCAAATTTCAACAATTTGATGACGTTTCCTCAAAAATGTTTCAGGAAACGCCAGTTAAATTTTAAAAATAGCATTCT